ATATATATATATATATATATATATATATATATATGTATATATATGTACATAAATATAAATATATATGTATATGTAGATATATGTTATGTAGATATGTTCTTTGTTCTTCTTCCTGTTCTTCCTTTGCTGAAGGGAGGTGACCCCACCTCACTGAACAACTATCAACCAATCTCTAAACTCTGCATTTTAGCCAAGGTTCTAGAAAAACTGATAAACTCTCAAATCAAAAATTACCTGGACTCATTTAAACAAACTAGATTTTTATTATCCATAATCTCCTCAATTATTAACCCATTGTGATCATTATAACTACCCCATAACAGACTGTGCCCATTAAAATCACCCCCCCAAATTACTTTCCATCTAAATGTGAAATAATGTATCCAAAGTTTCTATTGACAATCTTTTACCTGGGTTGTAATATCTTCTTCATCATCCTCTGAAGTCGCCATTCCAGTCCAATCCAAAACCAGCTAATTTTCCACCGCCAAATTCAAAAAGTTTGTTGATTCCAAAATGCGAGCCGCACCCCTACCAAGCCTGCTGTCGGCTTGTCTCCTCCGGTCTTCTTCAAGTGACGTCTTACGCCCCTTGTAGAAAGGTTTGAAAGTCCAAAAAGCCTTTCAAACAGGTCTCTCAGTCTGACAGAGGAAATGAGGAAACAGGAACTTCAACTTCCAGTAAGATGGTGCCCGTGTACATGGCTTGCAATCCACCTCTGCTGATGGTGTTCGGATTATTTTTGTTTTTTTGCATTTCTCATCTGTGACATCAACTCTCTGCTGGTGTATGAAAGAACAACTTTTGGATCTTTGTTTTTCTGTCACTGAAGTCGCTTATTTAGACCATTATCAGCGTACCTCTGGCCCCCCCCCCCCCCCCGCTGGCGGACGTGCCAGCTTACATTCGTTGGGCTCCTCACCTCCCTGCCCGGAGATATCACTTCAGACGCCGGGAAAAACGTGCTGGTCAGGTGGTGAAGCTGAAAGCTCTGCACGTGGCATCTTCCTCTCCTGTGTACCCGGACCAGGTAACCAACGGGAGTTGTCAGCTGTTGCGCAGCTCGGACCGACCTGGAGGGGCTGTTATTGAAAACCTGCGGCCATTAGCGCGCTGCTAGCTCCACCGCTGCTAGCTCCACTTCGGACAATATCCGAATGTGTTTGGTCAACGCAAGATCTAATACCAACAAAACTTTTATCCTCAGGGACTACTTTCAAGAGCACGATTTAGACTTTCTGTGCATCACAGAGACTTGGATGTCTCCGGGTGAGTCTAGCACCTTGACGGAATTACTGCCACCGAACTGTTTGTATTTTAACGCCCCGAGGCCGTTAGGCCGGCGCGGTGGAGGATTATTAACAATATTCAAATCAACTTTTGACTGTAAACAACTGCCCATCACAGTTTCCCGCGCCAGCTTTGAGCTGAGCGTCTTTGAACTCGGACATTCACCTCCGACGTTATTTGTACTCGTCTACCACCCACCTCGGTCTAAGGATTTCATAAATGAGTATTCTGACTTCTTGGCTGAAATCACACCAAAATATGATCATGTTTTCATCATTGGGGACTTTAATTTGCACGTGTGCTATCCTGAGAAGCCCTTGGTTAAGGACTTTTTAGATTTATTGGACACATTTAATTTAACACAGCATGTAA